ACCTACCTACCTACCTACCTACCTACCTACCTACCTACCTACCTACCTACCTACCTACCTACCTACCTACCTACCTACCTACCTACCTACCTACCTACCTACCTACCTACCTACCTACCTACCTACCTACCTACCTACCTACCTACCTACCTATATAAATTAATATCTCTACGCTTTTGTGTTATGTAAAGACAAACAAAACGAAACAAAAAGAAACGAAACGAACTTTTATTTGACTCTCATGAAGTGAATCATGAGGAGGCCGAATGGTTGCAATGGAGTTCATCATGGATGAGCTGCTTTCCTGGCACGAGCCTCACCAGAAGTGTTCAATGTTTGTGTAAAATTAATTACTGCACCGACAACTTGACTGATTCACAGTTTAAAAGCAGATATTAACAAGATTAAGCGTAAATAAAAAAAATTATATCATATTCGTATCATATTTTAGTCCAAATTAAACTTCACATCCATTGTAGTTTCATCAACTGTTCGTAAATGTAATGCTTTCGAAATCACGTTATTATCCCATGAAACGTACATATATACAAGCTAACAAACAAGCAAACAAACAAACACACACAGACACACACACAGATTATATCCCAATACATCCGAACATCTTTTATTTTGTGACATAATATGCTATAAATAAATAAATAAATAAATAAATATATATATATATATAGAAAGAGAGAGAGAGAGGGAGAGAGAAAGAGAGAGATTATTTTCCTATTTTATTTTATTGATGTTGTGAGCGTGAAATGTACGAGCCATTCATTTTTTGATATATTTCGTCTACTGCTTATATATGCACATATATACATATGTATATACAAAAGATATTGAGCCAGAATATTTACAACAGCTACTAATCATACGGCTAATACATTTGTTAGATATATGCAGTAATTTATGTGACCTACCGAATTTCTGGTGTTGGATTATAGTCGATATTACTTTGTATTTACTGGTTTTTATAACCACTTAGTTTTTGAGACAACTGGGTAAAAGAAATTCGGTAGATTTCAAACATTACTGCATTAATTATGGTCTTTTGCCAATATATATATATATATGTATGTATGTTTATGTATATATAAATATTATAAATGTAATGTATGTATGTATGTATGTATATATATATATATATATATATATATATATATATATATATATATATATATATATATATATCTGTATATATATGTATGTATATATATACTCATTACATTACTTTCTTCCTTTTTCATTCTAGACCATCAGTCATAAGTGTTGTCGTTATTGTCACTTTTCGTTTCTTCTTCCTAACTTAACATCGCCAGTGTTGTTAAATTTGGAAAAATTAATATTAGAAAATAATAAAAGTTATAAAAAACTTCGGTTATTATTCTTATTATTATTATATCCTTATTATCATTATGTTGTTATCACGTTATGCGGCAGTAGGTATAGGTAAGATAATCATGAGTGAAACAGCGATTTCGGACTTGAAAAATGAAAAAATGTAAAAGGAAATTGGATTGGAATTTTTAGAGGAGATCGAAAATCAAGCCGACATTTTGAATTCCATTAATAGAAATGTTAATGAGCTAGTATAGTTTAAAAGCAGTCAGAAGGCTACAACAATCTAAATGTTATAGTGAAAGAACAGATCTGGACAACGTAGTAAACAGCTGGAAGTAAACCAGCTCTGATTGATTGCGATAGATGTGAATCTAACAATGAAAAGTTTAATTAAGAATTCAATTAAATTAAATAAAAATAAACCTAACAAAGTAATTGATGTTGGTGGTTTCTGCTACTGCCCCACGTAAGAAAAGGTCTAAACCATTGTCAAATTACATATTGGGTTCGCCGAAATCCGAGGGCTTAAAAGTTACTGCTAGCAAAATTTTGATTCGGAAAAGATTTTTTCATATTGTTAATATGACAAGATGTTTAACTGCTGATGTGACTAAATATCTTAAAACAATTAATGTAAAGAAGGTCTCAAGCTATCATACGTTTAAGAGGATGGGTGATGATATCAAGTCGAAAGATGACGACCTACTCTCCTATTCTTTTAGATTATGTATCGATGCTATATTTGTTTACTCAAGATAGTTCTTGCCCTGAAGGTGTTCAAATCAAGGAATGGTCGCTCAACAAACTGGATGAATCTGGTTTATCCTGTTTATTATTAAAATGTTGATTGATATTTTGTGTATAATTGTTCTTACATGTTTATTAAAAAGCATTTAATTGATGTTTTGGCAAGGCAGTTATTGTTTATTTTCACAATTTCTTGAATGTACAATAGTGCATAGTCTAAGGAAGTATTTTTGTTAATGACTTTGAAGAGGTGCTCTGTTTTGGCAGGGAACTAACTTAGTTAAAAGCATTGCTCTTTCTAGTATCCTTTCCATGAAATTTTTAACTTTCATGAATAAATATATAGAAAAAAATATTGTTATTATCATAATTAATTCAAATTTATTAATAAAAACAGCAAAGGACGAGAAACAACTTTAATTATTAGCATTATAAATCGAAAAATTAAAACATTAAAATACACATATTCATACATATACATATACGTCTATACATATATATATATATATATATATAGATATAATATGTATATACACAGTATATACATATATATATATATTTGATTGAAGAATTGAAATGATGCTTAATCACCGGAAGTTGTTGTTGCTGTTGTTATTATTATTAATGTTTTTGTTGTATTTGTTGTTGTTGTCGATGTTTTTGTTGTTATCGTGATTGTTGTTGTTCAGGTTGCTGTAGTTATTAATGAATAGTAGTAACTGCTTAAGTATGTCGTATATCGATTAATCACTGCTGCTGATGATGATGATGTCGTTGTTAATAATAACAATAATAATAATAATAATAATAATAATAATAATAATAATAATGACACAGTAAAGAACAATAGTACCGACGATAATTTTGAAATGCTATTCATAAGATGTCGCAAATGTATGCAAGCATCTTAGGTCCAGTTGGAATATTGCATTCATCTTTAATTGTCATCATTATTGTTATGAGAATACAAATAACATAACATAAAAATAATAATAACAAGAATAATAATATCATTTACAACAATAATAACTATTATTAATATTATTAAAACATCAAAAAGCTACAAAAATACTATGAACATTGCCAATTATGATGACAATATATATATATATATATATATATATATATATATATATATATATATATATATATAATATGTATTATATGACACGAGAAAAAATAATAGATATGTATATTAAATATGCTTGGTTGATTGATTGATTAGGATGCTGATTATTTATTTTTATCGAACCATACATCGGTGAATGATTGAATGAATGAATGAATTAGTGAATGAATGAATGAATGATTGAGTGAGTGAGCGAATGAATGAAGGAATGAACGATTGAATAAATGAACGAATGAGCACAATAACGAAACGTTAAATTTGCGTTCAACGTGTGGGTGAAACATTCGATAAAAATCCAATCCATTGGAAACAGCCCGTATGATATTCATAAAGACAATGACAACAACATTGAAAAATAACAATAATAGTAATAATAATAAAATTATTTTTATTATTATTAATAATAAAAATGTATAATATTTTTTTTATATTTTTTATAAAACGGAACAAATTAGATTGAAAAACAATCACAAAACGATATTAAAAATGTTTCCTGCAAAAAGCAAGTTAACAAACTTACACACACACACACGCACAAATGTACTCACACACAAACACAAACACACACCAAAACCAATTTATATAGCGCTAGGATGTTACGCTCCAGAGCGGCTACCAACATTGATGCAAACACAAACATACATGTATGAATGGCTGATTGAGTAACTGATAGAATTGGATGGATGAGTGAATGAATGGATTGATAAATGAATGAATGAATGAATGAATGAATGAATGAATGAATGAATGAATGAATGAATGAATGAATGAATGAATGAATGAATGAATGAATGAATGAATGAATGATCGAATGAATGAATGAATGAATGAATGAATGAATGAATGAATGAATGAATGAATGAATGAATGAATGAATGAATGAATGAATGAATGAATGAATGAATGAATGAATGAATGAATGA